ACTATGAGAGTCTGGCCCACCTGGAGGACCAGTTTGAGGCCAGCCTGGTGAATGTGGTGCTGATCCCAGACAATGGCACAGGTGGGTCCTGGTCCCTGAAGTCCCGAGTGCCCCCGGGTCCAGCTCCCCCTCTTCAGTTTCATCCCCAGGGCTCCCGCTTCAGTGTCCAGGGGAGTCAAGTGGCCTCCTCACTGTGGACTTTCTCTTTTGGCCTCGGAGCTTTCAGTGGCCCAAGGATCTTTGACATCCGCTTCCAGGGAGCACGGCTAGCTTACGAGATCAGCCTCCAAGAAGCCTTGGCCGTCCATGGAGGAAATTCTCCCGCAGCTATGCTGACCCGCTACATCGGTGGCAGCTTTGGCATGGGCAAGTACTCCTCACCCCTGATCCGCGGGGTGGACTGCCCCTATCTGGCCACCTACGTGGACTGGCACTTCCTTCTGGAGTCACAAGCCCCCAAAACAATACACGATGCCTTTTGTGTGTTTGAACAGAACCAGGGCCTCCCCCTGAGGCGACACCACTCAGATATTCACTCCCACTATTTCGGGGGCCTTGCGGAGACAGTGCTGGTCGTCAGATCTGTGTCCACCATGCTCAACTATGACTATGTGTGGGATATGGTCTTCCACCCCAACGGGGCCATAGAAGTCAAATTCCATACCACGGGCTACATCAGCTCAGCATTCCTCTTTGGTGCTGCCCGAAAGTACGGGAACCAGGTTGGGGAGCACACGCTGGGCACCATCCACACCCACAGTGCCCACTTCAAGGTGGATCTGGATGTAGGAGGTAAGACATCCTGAAGGGGGAAAGGATTCCAGAAGACGGGGCTGAAGAGTTGTCTGTAGCTATTTTGGGTTTATGGCGGTTATGCAGGAAAGAAAGATTTGAGAACAAGTATGCAGTTTCAGAGTGTCACGCTTCTTCTCTTGCTGAACGGGAGAGAAATGGATTCTGAATTTTATTTAGCTCATTGGCTGGGTGCACAGCTGCCACCCTCCCTCCACGTAACCTCATCAGAAAATCTAGGGAAATGGCAAAGCTCAGAGAGGAGGCAGCATCTTCTGGGCTGACAGGGTCCCCTTTGCCTTCTTCCCTCCATTGCACTTATATGGGCCCCATTTCAGGGAGGCAGTTTTGTTTTTCAGTTCATTTCTCTGCGTCTGGCCTGTGGCACTGGTGTTTTGGAGGATCTGTTTGCATTCTGCCAAGTCCCTAGTACATGCAGGCCAGTCATGGAACACCCTAGGTTGGACATTTCCTTGGGAGATGGACCCTGCCCCTCCCTGATTTTCTGTCTGTCTCTGGGGACCTTACACTTAAGTGTGAGGGAAGAATGGATACTGTGGAGCACTCCAGACAGTTCCTGGTGGTCACAAAGAGAGCCAAGGAAACAGGATGTCTTGCAATCTGTCTTTTCACTTTCCTTCCCCACATTGAGCTGATCACCAGATTTCTTTTCTGTTCTGCCTGTGAAATATCTCAAACATCTCTCTGGGCCTCTCTGCCATCCCCATGTTGGTGCGCGCGCGCTCTCTCTCTCTCTCTCTCTCTCTCTCTCTCTCTCTCTCTCTCTCTCTGTTGTTTTCACTCTTCCTCTCAGATCCACGGTCTACTCTGTACCCAGGGGAACCTACAAACCCACGCCAGCCCTCCCCTTCTTTCTTTCCCCATCACCTATAAGATCCCATCTGCGGAAGACCTACAAGGCCCTTCCCTCCAGAATGCAGCTCCATCCTACCTTTCAGATTCTTCTGTGTGCTGCTTTAGGCACAATGAAACCCACCCTGTCCCTGGACTCACACACACCACACGTTATGATCAGGCTTCTTTGCTTTTGCCCATGTTTTGCCCCCTGCCTAGAATGCCCTACTATGTCATCTCTGCTGGTAACATCCTCTAAGGCCAGGGTGAAGTTACCCAGGAAGTTACTCCCTTTTCCTCCCTGCACCTCTATTCCTATAACTTTGATTCTTGAATGTGCTTCTCTCACATTGCGGGCCGGTCAAGGCTTAGCCTTCTGCATCCCCCGTGAGAGCAGAAGGGTAAGGATGATGTTCGTTCATCTGTGTGTCCCCAGGGCCAAGCATGGGCCTCACACTAATTAGTATAAGTGAATGAATAAAATCCTTGATGAAATATTTTACAGATCAACAGCTTTGGCTGAAAGATTGGAAATATCTTGGGGAACGGGAAGAGAAGTAGGACGCACACTGAGTTCTGGGCTTCCTTTTGAGCCCCCACTCTAAAGCTAAGTGGGGACAGGACAGCGGCATGACAAGCCCTCCCTCCCACCTCTCCCTTCACCAACCTCCACTCAACCCGGCAGGACTGGAAAACTGGGTCTGGGCTGAGGACATGGCCTTTGTCCCCATGGCGGTACCTTGGAGCCCTGAGCACCAGATGCAGAGGCTACAGGTGACCCGGAAGCTGCTGGAGACAGAGGAAGAGGCTGCCTTCCCCCTGGGGAGCACCTCTCCTCGCTATCTGTACCTGGCCAGCAACCACAGCAACAAGTGGGGTCACCCTCGGGGCTACCGCATCCAGATGCTCAGCTTTGCCGGGGAGCCACTACCCCAGAACAGCTCTATGGAGAGAGCCGTCAGCTGGGGGAGGTGAGTGGCAGGGTGAGGGAGAGGCTGAGGGAGGTGAAAGTTGGGAAGGGAGCACTGGAATGGGCAACTGGCAACTCAGTTCGAACTGTATGCGAAGTGAGATAAGGGCTCCAGAGGATTCCTAGTTATCAAAAGGCACACGCAGTGGGCACACCCTCCTGGTGGAGGACTCGGGGCTGAGAACTCTTTTCTCTTTTGTATGGGGGAGGGGCGGTGCTGCGAGGTGGCAGCGGGTTAAACAGGAGGACCTAGAAAGGTGTTGGATGACACACTAGAGTGGCGCTGGAGTCACCGGGTGAATGAGATGGGAAAGGCGAGGATTGCGAGCTCAGCTCCTTTCTGTCATAATAAGGCAACAGGAAGGGGTTAAGACCACAGAGACCTGACCAGTGCTTCCCTAGGTACCAGCTGGCCGTGACTCAGCAGAAGGAGGAGGAGCCCAGCAGCACCAGTATCTTCAATCAGAATGACCCCTGGGCCCCCACGGTGGACTTCACTAACTTCATCAACAATGAGAGCATTGCTGGAGAGGTCAGCTGACTATGGGAGGTCTGGGGGATGGGGCGAGGGGGCACAACAATGAGCCTCCACCTTTTCCTGGGGATCCCTGAAAACCGTCTGGTCTCCTCAGGGGTGGGGCTGATTCCTGCCTTCTCTAATTTCATGGATCTGATCATTACCTCTTGAAGGAATCTTCCCAAGCTGGGAGTTCATTTTCAGAAACCGACTGAGGTCCTGGCCTATCCTTGAGACCCCACAGCCCTCTAAGTCTCAGCTTTGTGGACGGAATCCTTTTCAGGCCCTGGGACTCAATGAGGGCTGGAGGTCACCAGGAAAGACCATGTCTCTTGTATCTAAAGCCAATTCCTGGCATGACCACTAAAGGATTAATTTCTGAACATTGGCCTTTTCTGCTTCCTGAACCCGGATCTTCCCTCCTCTATCTCCCTTCCCTCAGTTATAGTTTGGAACTCTCAGGGAGTTAGGCAGGGAGGAGCCAAAGTAGCCTTTGGGATCGTCATTCCTGTGAGATGAGGAGGCCGATGGAGATGTGATGGGAAATGTCAGGGAAATGTCCAGCACAGGCCGGAACAGAGATGCGATTGATTATGCTTTAAAAACGTTTAAAGACTTAAGATCCTTTTGAGGGAAGGTGTGCTAGCATAGCAAATCCTTACATACAAGGCCACTGCGAGAGGCAGGCGTGTCCTTAGCAAAGCCAGGCATCGTGATCCTCTTCCTTCTCCCCTGCTAGGACTTGGTGGCCTGGGTGACAGCCGGTTTCCTGCACATCCCACATGCAGAGGATATTCCCAACACGGTGACTGTGGGGAATGGTGTGGGCTTCTTCCTCCAACCCTACAACTTCTTTGACCAGGACCCCTCCTCTGACTCTGCTGACTCCATCTACTTCCGGGAGGATGAGGATGCCGGGTCCTGTGAGGTCAACCCCCTAGCTTGCCTCGCCAAGGCTGCTGACTGTGCCCTTGACCTTCCTGCCTTCTCCCATGGGGGCTTCTCTCACAACTAGGTGGTCCCTGAGATGAGGAAAGTAATCAGGGGCCCCAGGGCCAGAATGTATGGGGATGGGGAGCAGTAGGCCCTGGATTGGGCAGCCTGGTGCTCTCTTCTCCTTCCTCACACCCTTGAGGTCCCCTCTTCTCCCTCCCCCAAAATCACCTCTTCCCATCACATTCCCTTTCGTCCCCCTCTCTACTGGGAACATCCTGAACCTGTATGCTGGGGACACAGGGGAGACTCATCTTTACTGCCACCAGACCTGGGTTCCCATCCCAGAGAGGAGAGGAATGGCCTGCTGAGAGCTTGGAACGATGGCCAAGCTTTTACACAGAAGACTTCCCCTTTATTTTTATTTCTGGCTTCCCCAAATCTTTTTAGGCCTTCTCCAGGTTCCTCCTGGCCTGTCTAGTCCCTCCCTTGGATCTCTGCGATGGGGATAGTTTCCTAGAAGCCCCAAGGCAGTGTTCATGCCTGGCCTATGTATCCATGGGTGAGCTGGCGGGGGCTTCTTGGCCTGTATTCCCTCGTATCCAAGACTTCCTCCTTCTTTCTCTCTTCCTCTTGCCTACTGCCTCCTCCTCCTGTTCCTACCCATCCTTGTATCCTGGGATTTCCCTCCCAGCCTTGAGCAGACGTTCCTCTGCCCTGCTGCTCCTCTAGCCCTCATTTCTCAATTTAAGTCTCCTCTCCTGGCCCTAGGCCTGTGAAAGTCTCAAAATGCAAGGGACATCTAGTTTGAGAGGACAATCCCTGTCTGTTCCCCTGTGTCTGTCACATATGAGGAGTAGGAGTTTCCCCCACCCCAGTCCTGGGGAGGATGTGTTTTCTCTGTCCATTTATTTGTACACCCCTGCCTCACATTCTCAGCAGAAGATGGTCACGGACACAGCAACCAGAACTGTGTGTGACCAATGACCTCTGTACTCTACAGCAGCTAACACGGGAGGCTGAGTAGGCACCAAGAGTGAGCAGCAGAAAGACACAGGAACTCCGGCAAGGACTGGGCCAGAGGCCATCCAGTCTCATATGGGCATGCAAGTGAGCCAGGGCTTCCTGGGGGAGGAGCCTCCCATTAAGCCATCCCTCCAGAGGTCTGGATTGGGGGTGGATGCACAAATAGCAAGAGTTTGGAAAGACCTGAAATGTCCTTCCCTAGAGGATTGGTTAAATAAATTCTGATACAGACTTACAATGCAATAATATGCAGCTATAAATATGCAGCTATAAATCTCTTTGTACACTAATAGGGAATAATCTTCCAGAAAAAGGCAAGGTATAGAAGTGTGTCTAGTGCACTTCTCATTTGTGTTTTAGAAGGGAGGAGAAGAATATAAATACATATTTACTTATATATGCATATTCAGAAGAAACGGGTAACACTGGTTGCCTCCGGGGAGGGAACCAGGAGGTTGGGGACAGGGGAGGGAGGGGACTTAGCACTCTATACCTTTTTGTATATTTTGAATTTTGAACCATGTGACTATGTTACCTATTCAAATTAAATAATAAATGGAATCAAACAGGACTTGACTTTTTCTTTTTTTAATGACATGTCTTTTAAGATAGGTTGTGTGTAGGGGAGGGTAAAATGACTTAAGGGATAGACCCAGGGACTCAATTTTCTCAAGTTTTTGACACTAGAGAAATGGGCGTGGCCTCTGATAACTCCTTTGCTTCTCTTGCTCGAATACCTGTGAAGAAAACATTAAACCTCAGTCAATCTCTCCTGTTCTTTCGCTCACTTTTGCTCTCTGTCTCTCTTAGAAGAGGGGGCAATGAGAAGCAACAGGGAGGGATGACTTCTGCCTTCTGGAAACTCAGGCCTGGACAAGAGGGGAAGTGAGAAAACAGATTTTGGATGCTGCTCAGTTTATGACCAGAGGGAGATCTATCCAGGGAGCTCAAGCATCAACTTCTGCCACCTTCTATCCTGCCCCAAGCTCAGGTTCAGTTTTGGGTCAATGGAAAAGTGGATGGAGAGGAGTCAATGAGATGGAGAGAAACTAGTTTCCAAAAAAGAAAAAGAGAGAAAGACTTTATTCAGTAAGGAGTAGAGGGCCAGTGATGGCTGGATTAATTCACAGCCTGGAGTGAAAGCAACGGTGACAGAGGACACAAAGAGATTGAGGACAAGGGAGACTAAAGACCGAGATGGAAGAGAAAAAGAGATGTCCTGGCCTGAGGAGGCTCCGACACTGACTTTATACTTCCCCTTTCTCTGATCGGAATAACTTACCTTCTCCTTTAAATGCATATCCTTTTTTATCCACCTCCTATGGCTCTTTCTTATGGTCAGTTGCCAATGGGCAGTGATGGGGGAAAGGAATAAAGGAATGCTAGTGTCCACCCCACCCCTACCCCATCTTACTAACTTCAAGCTCATTACCCTGAAACCCATCTCCACACAAAGAATATGAATGTTTGTATGGAGTAAGTGTGTGTGTGTGTGTGTGTGTGTGTGTGTAAATGTTACTGTGGTTGTATCTCTCTTCATCTTACCATAGAGATGATATCACCTGCCCAGGCCTCAGTGGACGTATAGATTGCAAGAATTTCAGCCCAGCTAGGATCAGGAGAGCTGATCCAGGAGAGCAACATGACCAGCCCTCCCCCTACCCCACCCTCCTCCTTGGCAGGACTGGAGAAATGGATCTGGTCTGAGGACATGGCCTTTGTCCCCACAGAAGTACCCAGGAGCCTCAATACAATCTCTTGTTTAGACTACAGAGGCTGACTAGAGTTTTGACCTCAGACTTGTGATCAAGTGATAAGAGTAGGTGGTGACTGATGATGTCAGGTTCTGAAGGAACTACTGTCCCCAGGACTGAGAACTTTAGCACTTGGGTCCATTGCCCTAAGAGGAGCTGGATAAGGGGACACCTGGGGCTTACGTCAGAGGCCATCACCGGGACTTCTCCAGGAATGTAGACACTGGAACCTCCCATGAGGAGCACGAGATGTGCTTGCCTGCCTCTGCTGTCCTCCTGAAGCCCCTGGAAAGGGCTCGAGCTAGAAGAATTCCTCCATACATTCAACAAAGATTAATGGAATGCCTTCCAAGTGCCAGGCAAGGCACTAGGCTATATTAGTGAATAAGAGATACAATTTCTGCCCTCAGGGGTAACAGAGGCAAGTAAAAGCAGCAATTACAGATGAGAACTGTTAGAAGGAACGTGGTAAGTAGACACAGCAAGGGCCCCTCACCCAGACTTTGGAGTTGGAGAAGGCTTCCTGAGGGATCCGATGTCTAAACCGATCCTGGCAGAGGAGTAGAAGTTGGCTGAGGGAGAAAGAAGAGTGGAAAGAATGTTCCGAACAGAGAGAATAGCATGTTCAAAGGCCAGGAGGTGACGAGGTGGCACCATCCAAGTACTCAAGTTCATTGATAGGCGGTTGGGCTGTGAGGAAAGCCTGGAGGAACAAGAAGGGGACAGAGGAAGCAGGTCTTTGCAAACCATGGTTACCCTAGAAAAATGGGGAGCCGTGGAAGGATTTTAAGTGAGAATGAACGAGTCAGATTTTAGGACATTCTGGCCCATAAACAAAGAATAGAGTTGATGGAAGGCCTAGTTACAAGAAGGTGGGTCAGAGGTAAGAAATGATGGTGGTCTGAACACACGGTGAGGCCTGGTGGAGGACTATGGGAAATCTGGCCCAGGGAGGTCCTGTTTGGCCTTCGTGCTGCCCACAACCTCCTGGAGCTGCTGATTAAAGTAAATCCCACCCAACAACTGGTCACTTTTATAGTCAGTGTGATTATGTGATAATTGCTTAGATTATTCTTCTAATAGTTATACAGTGCATAGTGGGTTTGAAAAAAAAACTCAAAGGAAAAAAATAGGTGTCTGGGGCCCTCCTGCAGCTGCCTTGACTGGGTTTGGCATGAGAATAGGCTCATTAATTCTACAGCCTCTTTACCTATTTAAGGGACCCTACCCTTTTTGGCTCCTCCTGAAAGATTCTCTTTTAGTCATCCACTCCTCTCCCTGTATTTATAATCTCTCCCTCTTGACTGGCTCTTCCTCTAGATTCTCATCTTGCTAAACTTCTCTGGGACCCTTCATCTCCCCTACATGGGGTGAAGGGGGAGGGGGAGAAGGGTTCTTCTCTCAGCCCTCCTCCAAAGAGAGTTCCCACCCATCCTGGGTCTGCTTCCTGCCCTCCCCAAGTCCACCCTCAACCCGCTGCCCTTGCTCCGATGACCCTTGAACTACAGCCACTGCTCTGACAAAGGTCACTAGTGACTTCTAAGTGAAAATCAATGGAACTTACCAGCTGTCTACTCTGGATCTCTCAGTGGCATTTGACAACGCTGACTGCTCCCTTCCGGAAACTCTCCTGTCTCGACTTCCCCATGTTTGGACGACTCCTCATCCATAATTGCTGCTTCTCAGTCTGTTATACTAGCTCCTTTATCCCTGCTCTGCCCACCTGGCCCCAAACCTTGGCATTTTCTGGGACTCTGTCTTTGACCCTCCTCTTTTCTCTCTCCAGAGGTCCTCCCTAGGTGACCTCAGCCTCTCATACTTTAATGGCTAAAAATTGTTTCTCTCAAATCCTTATTTCTAGCCTAGAACATCTCTCCTGCACAGAGCCAACTGCTATTTTTCTAGATCTCTATGTTGGAGCTTCCCATGAGCACCTCAAACTAAAAATTGTTAGTTTTCCCCTTAAATTTCCTGTTCTGTGTATGTCCTGCTGGTGAAAGGCTCTACCACCCACCCAGTCACCCAGTGGTGTCACCCACTTGGTGCCCTCTCTACCCACCCACACCCGATTGGGCACCAAGTCCCATCAACTCTACTCTTAGACATTTCTCAGAATCGTCCATTCCTCTCTGTTCTCCAGGTCACTGGCCTCATCCTGGCTCTTTGATTCCTGCCTTGTCTTCTCACCTCTAATCTGCCCCATATCTAGCCAGAGTCATCTCCCTAGAATGAAGATCAGAGCAGACTGTGACCTGGTGTCCATGGCAGTGGAGCTGACTGCACAGAGCCTCTGGAGCAACAGCTCTGCTCAAGTACCAGATTCTCCTCCCAGTCCTCAGCCTGAGGGCCAGGGGTGGACTCAGGCTAAACTCATCTTTATCACATTCCCAGAGGCTGAGGCCAAGTTTATTCAAAGCAAAATAGGACCTAGTAGGGAGGAGCAGGATATGTGGTCCTATCTCCTGAGTAATTCTCCAGAAGGGACACTTTTTCAACAAGTTTTTAGGGTATTAAATTAAATTGATGATTGTGAAGCTAGGATGAAACAGTATCAGAGGAAACAATGTGACAACAAGACACTTAGGGAAGGTGGTCAGGGTGACACCTTTTTATATACCAATTCTCCTACCCAGATCATTACCCACCTCCCCATGTCAGAGCCTGGTGATACCCCACCACAGTGAATATTCTTGACCTCTGCTAGGTAACACTGCTCAGGACAAAAAATATTTGCTGTTATAATGGTGCATCCTTAGTTGGGGGCTAAGACTGTAACTTACCAAAGGCCCAGACTCACAGTTGCCTTGTGGCTGGGCGTAGACCTTGACGTTAGATTCTGCTCCCCCTTATTCTCAAGGTCACAAGCCCATTTTCAATGACCCCTTCCTGCCTTAGTTATAGTAATTCTATTGTTTGTCCTGACTGCAAGCTCTCCCGTCCCTCTTTTCCATCTTACTGCTCAGTCAATGGGAATATTGGGTATGAATTTTACTTCCCAGTACTCGGGGATAGGTATTAAATGTGTTTCTTTATTTTTCTGTAAGAGATAACCAGCTCTGTGTCTTCACTCACATGATTGGCAGGAAATTCAATTACAGGCATGCTTGTGTGTGTGTGTTGGGGGGTGCTCATCTTTAGGGTTAAGTAAGACTCTAGTCTGGGCCTTTGGGGGATGTTTGGCTAGTCTTCAGTTGCAGCAGCCACTGCTCTCATATTCATTTCTGCTTCCCTGAGGCCAGACTTGCCAAGGCATGGATGGGAGGAGGGGTTGACCCACACCCACTTTCTTCTAGTGTAAAAGCCCTACTCTCTCTTGCTTGTTCACAAGATGTTTTAAAAACTTTTTTTTTTAATTAAAAATGTTCAAAATACTGTTTCCTATGAAGAGCTTCTGCAGAGCATGAAAACCAGATCAGAAAAAGCAAAACCAGTTTCTGTTGTCCCTGAGGGCAGGGAGGGCTGACCTCCCTGGAGAGGGGGATTATTTTGTTTTAATTCCATTCTGGAGAAAGGAGGACTTTGCCTTTCTCACCACCTTGAAATGAGCCCCATTACTCCTTCCACAGCTTTATAAAACAAGGGAGAGGAAAACCTGTCCAGTGTCCATATCCAAATAGAGCTGGTCGCATGAATATTTATAGATAATTGACTTTTCTTGGATTAGTTAACCTGGTTTAATTTCCCCAGGTTCTGAGATGTCTCACTGTCTTCTTCGAATTACTGCTTTGCTTAAAACACAAACCGCACAAGACTTCCTGACTTTAAGTCTCCTGACCGCCCTCCTTCCCATCCTTACCTCACACCAAATACGCTCACCTTTTAGCCATTCCCTGCCCATGCTAAGGCTGCCTCGAGTTTCTGTATCTTTGCACCTTCAGCTGGAATGTCCTCCTCATTCTTTAGCGGGAGAATGCATTCTGTTTGCAAGGTCAGTTTAACGTCTGTTTCTGGGGAAGTCTTCTTGGAAATGTCCAGCTGAGAAAGGATTCTTCCCCAGGCTCACGAGAAAATCACGTCCCCTCTCTGGAACCCTCAGTGTCTCCTAGCTCCTCTCAGGGCCTGGCTGCCCAGATCACGGTGGCCTCCTCCTATCACCTGGCAGAGAATGGAGGCGGCTTTGCTCTCTGCCTCTGCAAAATTTTGGAGGAATGTTTTTTGTAGTTGAGGGTTGCAGGCTGTTGGGTTAATTCCATAGCCAGTTTTCCAGGTCCCCTGACCTCTAACCTGGCCCATCAGTCCTGCTCAAGGTGGTGGTGGGAGGGGGTCTCTGTTACATTCTGCAGCCTCTGCAGCCTCTGCACCCTCTCCAACTCCTGACTGGCCTCACACCCTCCATGCTCCAATGATTTAGGGTGCTCAGGGCCTCCACAGTGTAACCTGCCTGGCTCAGCCCTTCAGCCCCAGCTCCTCCCAGGTGCTTCGTGTTCTCGGCATTACTACCAAGCATCCCTGGGGCTGCTGGTAGGGTTATGATAAGAGGAATAGGAGAGAGTGCTGAGTAACAGAGCCTGGAGTGTACCACAAACTAGAGGAAAGAAGGAGGAAATCTGGGTGGAGAGATATGGGCAGGTGAGTTTCACTTACAGGGAAGAGAGAGGTTCCATCTAGAGGGAGGAGGAAGAGCCCAAGGACAGTCTCTTTCCGCCCCTGTCACTTCTTCCTCTTGCCTCCCTCCAGCTGTGTAATCTCCAAAACCAAACCCTCCCCTACTTCATTCCCCAGCCCTGACCCTGAGTGTTTGATTTGGAACAGGAAGACAGAGGATTACGTGGGCCACTTAAAGTCCAGGTTCCTACCTCAGCCCCACCTCCCAAGCCTGGCCTGACCCCTGGACCCCTCCAGCTCTAGCTCCCAACCCTCTGCCCTTATTTTCAATGTACCCATGATGCCTCTTGCCCAGCAGTACCACCCAGAGACCAGGAACCTCCAGAGACTGAAAGAGGAATCCTGCACCCAGGTCCTGTCTGTTTATCTTTCTATCTCCCCTTCTGCATTCCAATTCAAGAGCCTGGGGACAGCCCAGAAGCTTTAGCTATGGCTATCTTCATTATTCTGTCCCTCTGTACTGTTCTGGTGATAGGCTTGGGTGAAGGTGGAGCTAAGAATGAGAAAGAAGTTGAGAGGAAATGTAAACCAGGCCGGCCTCCCCCCTGCCTCTCCATGCCTCCCAGTCCCCAGCCCTGGACACACCCTGGTCAGAGCCAGCTGTTTGCAGACCTGAGCCGAGAGGAGCTGACGGCTGTGATGAGCTTTCTGACGCAGCAGCTGGGGCCAGGCCTGGTGGATGCAGCCCAGGCCCTGCCCTCGGACAACTGTGTCTTCTCGGTGGAGCTGCAGCTGCCCCCCAAGGCCGCAGCCCTGGCCCACCTGGACAGGGGGCGCCCCCCGCCTGCCCGGGAGGCACTGGCCATCGTCTTCTTTGGCAGACAACCCCAGCCCAACGTGAGTGAGCTGGTGGTGGGACCGCTGCCCCACCCGTCCTACATTCGGGATGTGACCGTGGAGCGTCACGGGGGCCCCCTGCCCTATCACCGACGCCCCGTGCTGATCCGAGAGTACCTGGACATAGACCAGATGATCTTCAACAGAGAACTGCCCCAGGTGGCTGGTCTCCTCCACCACTGCTGCTTCTACAAACGTGGAGGAAGGAACTTCGTGACGATGAACACAGCCCCCCGGGGTTTGCAATCAGGGGACCGGGCCACCTGGTTCGGCCTCTACTACAACATCTCAGGGGCTGGGTTTTACCTGCACCCCGTGGGGTTGGAGCTGCTGGTAGACCACAAGGCTCTGGACCCTGCCCAGTGGACCATCCAGAAGGTGTTCTTCCAAGGCCGCTACTATGAGAGTCTGGCCCAGCTGGAGGACCAGTTTGAGGCCAGCCTGGTGAATGTGGTGCTGATCCCAGACAATGGCACAGGTGGGTCCTGGTCCCTGAAGTCCCGAGTGCCCCCGGGTCCAGCTCCCCCTCTTCAGTTTCATCCCCAGGGCTCCCGCTTCAGTGTCCAGGGGAGTCAAGTGGCCTCCTCACTGTGGACTTTCTCCTTTGGCCTCGGAGCTTTCAGTGGCCCAAGGATCTTTGACATCCGCTTCCAAGGGGAGAGAGTGGCCTATGAAGTCAGCGTCCAGGAGGCCTTGACTGTCTATGGCGGCAATTCTCCTTCTGCTCTGCGAAGCCGATACACAGATGGTGGCTTTGGCTTGGGCCACTTCTCTTCGCCCCTGACCCATGGGGTGGACTGCCCCTATCTGGCCACCTACGTGGACTGGCACTTCCTTCTGGAGTCACAAGCCCCCAAAACAATACACGATGCCTTTTGTGTGTTTGAACAGAACCAGGGCCTCCCCCTGAGGCGACACCACTCAGATATTCACTCCCACTATTTCGGGGGCCTTGCGGAGACAGTGCTGGTCGTCAGATCTGTGTCCACCATGCTCAACTATGACTATGTGTGGGATATGGTCTTCCACCCCAACGGGGCCATAGAAGTCAAATTCCATACCACGGGCTACATCAGCTCAGCATTCCTCTTTGGTGCTGCCCGAAAGTACGGGAACCAGGTTGGGGAGCACACGCTGGGCACCATCCACACCCACAGTGCCCACTTCAAGGTGGATCTGGATGTAGGAGGTAAGACATCCTGGAGGGGGAAAGGATTCCAGAAGACGGGGCCGAAGTCTCCATGCCAAGTTTAAAAATTGTCATTGAAACATTAAAAATGTAAAAGTATACGAAGTAAATGTGAAAGTCATCAGATTCCTCAGAGATTTTCACTCTTAGCGGATCAGTTATTCTTTCACACTTAAAAACAGTCTTCCGTATTATTAAATAATCTGCAATTATAATTTATTACATTGTATACTATCTGTAAATATGATAAACTGATACACATATTTAGATTTTTTTAATATAAATTTGAGTGGTAACATATATCTATTTTGCCACTTCTGTCATAATAACGTACCATTAATGCAAGCGACAAATATTTAGTGAATGCATATTTGTGCCCAGCACTGCACTAACACAATTTCACAAAAGAAAGAACATTTCTACTCTCAACCACAAAAATGATGTTATGTCGTTATGTCATTCTCGGTGCATCATATCAAGGGGTACATGATGCTGATACGTCTTATTATAAGTGACATCGACCTCAAGCACTTGGTTAAGGTGATGTCTTCTGGCTTTCTCCATTGGAAAAGTTAATATTTTTCCATCTGCAATAAATAAATATCTTGAGGAAATTACTTTGATGTTACACAGATGCCCTATTGCTTTTCTTCTCAGACTTTTGCCCACTAATTTTAATATATTGGTGGATTTTTTTTTTTACAACAATTATTACTATGGTGTCCCCCACTGGTCATGTATATTATCTTCCTTATTCTTTATACATTTATTAATTGGAATTTTCCATAAGAAAGAGTTATTCCTCCCAATACTATCATTTAATCATATCTCAAATTGTTCCATTCTTGGCCATTGGAAGATCTTTCATTTTGATTCCTGTGTCCTTTTGACATGACTCTGTCCTTTTTGGAGCATTTCTTTATTTTCTGGCACCACAAGAAATTTCAACTTGTTTTTTTCCCTATTCCAGCCCTGAAATCAATCTACCACTTCTCCAAGGAGCTCTGATTCCTATTATTGGAGAATAGTATTTAGAAACCAAGATCTGGGTCTAGGTGTGCTCATTATGACTGGGCTCTCATTGCTTTTAGGGTCTCTCATTGGACATAGCTAAAATACATACATGTGTATTCTAACTGACACATGCATCTCTTTCTATCTCTGCATCTAAGCAATGAAGACTCTTAAAGAGCACCTGGAATGGTACCAGACACTCAGTGAGAAGGATTAGCTATTGCCATATTATTCACATGATCCTGCTTGTGTGGATGTACCAGAAAGAACTCTTGGCCTTTAATTGTTACCTACGTGTGGAAGCCCTGGGATGTGAACTAGGGGCAGTGAATCCACAAAAAGAAACTGAGGGTTTGCTTAATCAGTGTCTGTTCTCTTCTGGTCTTGGGAGGCATCGAGGGAGCTTCCAGCATGTTTTGGTTTACTGCTCTTGGGTCTCAGATCATTAAATTTGACTTCTAATATGAGACCTAGTTAGACTCTAACAAATTATTCAACACCTCCAAAAATTCAGGTGAACTGATTGCCTTCGGATCTGCTCTTAATTCCTTGCCAAACCCCAAACTATGGGAAATACCTCCAAGCTCCAGCAGCATTGGGCCCAAGGACTGCCCTACATGTCTGCTATCAATGTGTGGTGGGGCCACGCTATGTTGGTTTCCTCCATGTGCTGATATGTACACAGTGTAGAGCCAATTTAAGACGTGGGTCCCTAAGCACTGTCACAAAACTAACCGTGTACCCTTGGTTACAAACCAGGGCATGTTATTTAAATTCTCTAAATCGCAGTTGTCCCATCTGTAAAATGGGTACTATTGTAGTTCCTTCTTCATCGAATTGTTATACAAGTAAATCATCAACACTAAAGCAGATTGCATGCTGCCGAGCACCTTCAGGTTCAATAAATACGAGCTACGTTTACATGCTATGTTGTTAGTTTCATGATAAGGCTGACCTGGTGATATATGGGGCTTCAGATACGAAGCACAGACCCCTTCCTCGGGTCAGAAAGATCCTGACTCTGCACATCGCCTGCAAGACTGCTCCAACCTCAGGTGAACCACCTTCCCTTGCAGCCCCTCAGAGGGAGCTAAGGGGAGGACCAGTCACAAGGCATCTGGGACTGTTATCAGAGGTTAACATCAGGGACAAAAACCTTCTCCAACTATCTGGATGAGGGATATCTTGGGGAGGCGGGGAGAAGTAGGACGCACATTGAGTTCTAGGCTACTCTTTGGCCCCACTCTGAAACCAGGTGGGGACATAGCAGCTGCATGACCAGCCCTCTGTCCCACCCTTCCCCTCACCAACTTCCCCTCAACCCGGCAGGACTGAAAAACTGGGTCTGGGCTGATGACATGGCCTTTGTCCCCATGACAATACCTTGGAGCCCTGAGCACCAGATGCAGAGGCTGCAGGTGACCCGGAAGCTGCTAGAGACAGAGGAAGAGGCTGCCTTCCCCCTGGGAGGCACCCACCCTCGCTATCTGTACCTGGCCAGCAACCACAGCAACAAATGGGGTCACCCTCGGGGCTACCGCATCCAGACGCTCAGCTTTGCCGGGGAGCCACTACCCCAGAACAGCTCTATGGAGAGAGCCTTCAGCTGGGGGAGGTGAGTGGCAGAGTGTCAGGCTGGGGGAGATGGACTGTAAGAAAGGCCCCATGTTGCTGGAAACCCAGATTCCTCAACCTCCCATGGGTATGCATGCACATACTCACTCATCACACACGCTCATACACACACACTCAGAGTTCTGTGGCCACAATCTTTAGCCATTTAAAATGAAGCCTACTGTCTATGGCCATGCCACCCTGAACAAGCTCAATCTTGTCTGATCTTGGAAGCTAAGCAGGGTCGTGCCTGTTTAGTACTTGGATGGGAGCACACCTAGGAAGACCAGGTGTTGTAGTCGTAAAAAATAAAATAAAAAATAAGGGATTGTAAACTGACAAGATCCTTGCAATCTGTGAGGTCGATCAAAGGTTGCCTCACCTAAAATAAATAAACAAATAAAATAAAAAATAAAATGAAGCCTACTGGCTGCATAGATGAATGGAGAGATACATGTGAAATCAAATATAATAAAATGCTAAAGGTAGAATCTGGGTTGTGAATATATGAGTGTTCACTATACTATTCTTTCAACGTTTTTGCGGGTTTAAAATGTTTACAATAAAGATTGGAGGGGAAAACAAAGAGTACAAGAAGAACGCAGATCAGAGGGAGTATTGCCTAAAATCCAGGCATCTGATATAGAGAAATTGACCTAAAGTGGGAAACAGGCCATGTCCATGCATTTGCACCTGGGGCTCGAGCTCTGATCTGGATAGATGCATGAGCGACATTTGGACCTGAAGTCTAGGCAATGAGCCAGTTAATGTTTGAGATATAGGATATTGAACAAATGTGGGAACTGTATGAGAGACAGGGAGAATGGGGAAAATGTGCTCATTTTTCCTTTGTGTTCCCTCTTCAGTGTAACTTCAGACAGTGGGACAGGTTGATGACCTGTGGTTCTAACCCACATCTCCTGTAGGTACCAGCTGGCTGTGACCCAACGGAAGGAGGAGGAGCCCAGCAGCACCAGCATCTACAATTTGAATGACCCTTGGACACCCACTGTGGACTTCACTGACTTCATCAACAATGAGACTGTTTCAGGGCAGGTCAGTCAGCAGGAGGCAGAGGGAGCATGGATGAGCCACTTTACTCGCAGGGCAGATTCCTTGAAGAAATGAAGCTTTGTGATTTCACATTTTTTGTGGGTCAGTGAGCTGAATCCTTACATACAAGGCTACCACGAGAAGCAGGCATACCCTTAGCAAAGCCAGGCATCATGATTCTCTTCCTTCTCTCCTGCTAGGACTTGGTGGCCTGGGTGACAGCCGGTTTCCTGCACATCCCACATGCAGAGGATATTCCCAACACGGTGACTGTGGGGAATGGTGTGGGCTTCTTCCTCCGACCCTACAACTTCTTTGACCAGGACCCCTCCTCTGACTCTGCTGACTCCATCTACTTCCGGGAGGATGAGGATGCCGGGTCCTGTGAGGTCAACCCCCTAGCTTGCCTCGCCAAGGCTGCTGACTGTGCCCTTGACCTTCCTGCCTTCTCCCATGGGGGCTTCTCTCACAACTAGGTGGTCCCTGAGATGAGGAAAGTGATCAGAGGCCCAAAGGCCAGGGTGTGTGGGGAGGAGAAGCAGTAGGCACTAGGCCAGGAAGCCTGAAGCCCCCTTCTCCTTCCTCACACCCTGAGGTCCCCTTCTCCTCCACCCCAAGGTCCTCTCTCTCCCATCACCCTCCCTTACATCCCTCTCCTTGCTGGAGGCATCCTGAGCCTGTGATACTTGATGTGGGGTGGGGAGGATGGATTCAGCTTTGTTGACCCTTGACCTGCTGAGTTCCCATCCCAGAGAGAAGAGGAATTGCCAGCTGGGAGCCTAGAGTGATGGCCAAGCTTTTCCCCAGAATACTTCTGCGTTGTTTTTTTTTTTTAACAGTTGTTTAATCTTATTTTTTATACTGAGATATAATTCACATACCATAAACTTCACCCTTTTAATGTGTGTGTATAATTTGTGGGGTTTTGTATATTCATCAAGCTATGCAACCATTGGCACTATCTAATTTCAGAACATTTTAATCACCCGAGAAAGAAACCCCATCCCTGTTAGTAGTCACTTCCTATTTCCCTTCGACTGTTTTCCAGCTCTAGGCAAACAGTAAACTTTCTGTCACTATAGATTTGCCTATATTCTAGACATTTCATTAAATAGATCTATATAACACACAGTGTTTTGTGATTGGCTTCTTTCACTCAGCATGATGTTTCTGAGGTGCATCCATGTCGTAGCATAAATCAGTATTTCATTCCTTTACGACCAAATAATATTCCATTGTACTAATACACCGTATTTGTTTATCCATATCAGTTGATGAACATTTGGGCTGTTTTACTTTTGTGTTATTATCAATAATTCTTCTATGAACACTGGTGTACAAACTTTGATGTGGACATACATTTTCATTTCTCTTGGGTGTCCACCTGAAAATGCAATTGCTGGGTCGCATGATAACTCTGTGTTTAATCATTTGAAGAACTGCCAGACTGTTTTCCAAAGTGACGGCACCATTTTGTTTTATCGTGGTAAAATATACATAACCTAAGATTTACGGTGAGACCATTTTTAAATGTACAGGTCAGTGGCGTTAAGCACATTCAGAAGCTTTTTTTCGTCCTGCCCAGCTCCTCCTCTGTCCCGGGGCTGGGGAAGCCTTGAACATGCAGAGGGCTGTCCTATGGGAGAGGACAGTCCACGGTTGTCTCCTTATGGGAGACATTTGTTTCTGGACAGCTTTCTTCATTTCGTCTCTCTGCCTCATACTATCTAAACAAAAATGTTCCTCCTGTCACCTTGTCATCTGTTTACACTGCCAAATAATCTTCTTCTAAGTTCCTGCTATTTACATAGGCCATGTGGAGTATGCTTTTGAGATGGTCAAGTGACAGCAGCAGTCCAGGGAGTTTTGTTGATGAAATGCTAAGGGTCATCTGTTCCCAGGACCATAGGTGACAGTGGCCTGGCTCTATTACTGTGCAGCAGCCACATAGTCACCAGAATATCACTGAGGGTAGGAACCATAAAGCCTCAGGAGCTCAGGCAAGCAGGCCAGGAGTTGCCCAATCAGGGGTGCACATGCGCTCGGGTGTCCCAGTGGGGATCAGCGGCATGGTCATGCCACAGGCTCCAGGGCCTCACATCCCTGCTGTGTGGACTTTGCATGGGCATAAATAAGAACTGGGATATTTTCCAGAAAGGAATGTAGGGGCAGGAGTAAGGTATAGAGGAGGTAGGGCTCAAAGAGCAAGCTTTCTTAGGTGCCTCCAGACCAGAGAAACCCATGTGGTATGCAGCGTCCACATCTCAGCTTCTACAGCCTGCCCACTTCTGTCTGTGTCTTTTCTAGAAGCGGGGGCATGAGGCAGGAATAGA